TGGCAGAAACCATGCAGGAAAAGAAGGCAATGGGATGACATATATAAAACCTTGAAAGAAAAAAATTGCCAGCCAAGAATAATATAGCCTGCAAAACTCTTATTCAAATATGATGGTGAAATTAGGTCATTTCCAGATAAACAGAAATTAAGGGACCATGTAAAAACCAAACCAAACTTACAACACTTATTAAAGGGAGTCCTTTGATCTGAGAACAGACAACATCAGACCACTGGCTGAATCTAGGACACAGGACTGTACTAGCCAGATACCAACCTAGGAAATGAACTCCTAATGACTATGCAAAACCAGAAGAATTACAACAGGGAACCAGAGAGGTTAATCTGTAAATGACAACAACATCAGAACAATAAAAGAGGGAATAAATGGTATAGGTATAGAACCTTCTGATGGAGAGGAAAGCAAGGCGATACCACGTAATACCAGACTGCTTCTAAGTAGCTTCATGGCCTTGGGAAAGTCACAGCTTTGGTGGACCTCAATTTACTTACTGAAAAACAACTCAACTGGATTAGATTATGTCTAAAGGCTGACAGCTCTAATAGTTCTAAGAAATTAAATGAATAGCTGAAATAAAAAGAGAGAAGAAAAGCAAAACTACGCTGGCAACCATGGGAATATCGGTTCTTCAACTGTTGCCTAATTCCTAAATATAATGGCTTGACTTATGCCAAAATATACTTTTTAAAGAACAAGTACTGTCTTAACCACACTTACTGCTCATATATAGTCTATCTATCTTTACTATATTCCCTTTGTAATCTGTTCTTCCCTCGTATCACTCTGCTTCAGCTACGCTGACCTCTCCTTGAACCAAGCAGACTCTTACCTCAGGTGCTTCGCACTTTCTGCTCCTCTGCCTAGAATGCTCCTCAGTAAATCTGCACTGCTTGCTCCCTTCCTTCCTTCCTATAGATCTTTGTGCAAATGTCACTTTCCCAGATGAGCATCTCTAAATATTTACACAAAATAACAAAGCACTCTCCTGCCTCCATTCCAAACTTTCACTATTCCCCTTACTCTGTTTTGTCTCCAAAGCACTATCATCACCTGACTCATCTTAATTTGTCTTAGTCTTTCTTTCCCAATTAAAATATAAGTTCCATATGGGCAGGGCTCTGTTCTGTTCTCTGCTATATCCCTAAAGGCCTAGAACAGTGCCTGGCATACAACGGTCGGCCACTCTTTTCTTTTTTTTTTAATACATTAATACAATCATTTCAATATACATAGGCACTCCTAACACGACTTTTTAAAAAAGCACGCAAAATGGTATTTTTTACATGAACTAAACCAACATTCTACAATTATTTGTACAACTTGCTATTCTAAAAAGGTTGAAAAATAAACCTGAGCCCAAAACATCTGTAAATTTTCAAATTCTAAGTTAAAGGGAATCTAACAAAGATTTTCATTGTAGTGCTATGAAAACTATAGTATGCTTTAGAAATAGCCACATAAAAACTTAAGGATAACTCCAGAAGCTAAAAAATAACACTTCACTATAAGACAGAAGAAGTGATATAAGGATTCATGCTGAGACTATGAATCTAGAGTAGACCAAAGTTACACAAATATGGGGCGGGAATACTGAATAAAGTCACACAGAGTATACAGCTCCCCACAGTATTTTCCACCAGTCATTATCTCCATGCAGTAATGTTTCCTCTGCACAACGTTTCTACTACAGTAGTAAACTGAAAATGCTTCCAAGTCTGAGTTCCAACAACTCAGGAAGTAAAGCGTTTTCCCTACCTCTGACTAACCAAAAGCAAACTGCTCCAAGCAAAAGTTATACATATCATGGGAATATCAATAGCTACTGCTTTTCCCATTTGTAATCCAGGTGATAACGGTTCTTAAAAAGGAAAAGCTCTGTAACAAATTTCTCTTACCAATCAAAAGGGCTCCCAAGTAAAGACATATAGCTCTAGTTTTCTTCCTTAAAGAAATCAAAACTGAAGTATATTCTCAAATACATCATTAACAATTCCTAAACCCCACACTCAAAACAATAAATACTACCTGGCATGTGGGTTCTTTTCTTTAGGTATGGGTGAGAAGTTACGAGGATTTCTAGTACTTAAGGAAGAAAACAGCCTACAATGGAAATGAAAGCACTTCTGTAGACAGAGAAAGTGGAAGGAACCAATCCTTACTACACAAATAAAATGCTCTGAATTTTATTATTTAACAATCCTCTAACAAATAATATTCAAGGTAGGTAAAGCAGATGTCAACTGAGTTTACTGAAGTAAGGTACTTGTCCTAGGTCACAGCAACTATAAGATGACAGATTTATGACTAGAACAAAAGTCTTATAAAGAATGAAGATGCTCTGAAACATATATACCAAGCAGAATGCCCAACTAGCCACTGCAATGCAAGCCCTCAATTTCTAACTAATTTAAAACAAAAATAGTGAAAGACGAAACAGTGTTTTCATATTCAGTAGTAAATTTTCAGCTGAGCACAAAATATTCAGAAGTAACCAGGTACTACATGGTTTCATCAATCTGATAGCCATATTCCCAGTGCAGGTCACCAACCTGAATAGACCACCCCAGGCAGAGTTCATCAACTTTAGAGACTTAACATAGGCACTTAGTTTTCACTTTCACAGCAAGTAAGGTGACCCAGCCTCCAGTTCCCATCTAAACAGGCACTCAGTAGGCTATATCAAAACTATGCTAATACTCAAGTCAGGTTTTCTAATAAATAAGCTTAGCTAAAAACAATATTGTTTAAACACGTACACACACACTTCACACCAACATAAAAACTAATTCAAAATGGATCAAAGTCTAAACGTGAGAACTAAAACCATACAACTGTTAGAAGAAAACACAGGGGTTATGTTTTGGGATCTAGTTTTTAACAACGGATTCTTAGATATGATACCAAGAGCACAAGCAGCAAAAGATAAAACAAGATCTCATAAAAATTTACAATATTTGTTCATCAAAGGTCTTTATCAACAAAGTGAAAAGACAACTTATAGATTGGGATAAAAATTTTGGACACCATGTATCTGATATGGGTTTACTATACAGAATATATAAAGAACTCCTACAACTCAACAACAGAAAGACAAATGACCCAATCAAAAAATGGGCAAAGACTTGAATAGACATTTTACAAAGAAAAAGATATACAGATGGCCAAGAAGCAAGTGAAAAGATGCTCACGGTCATTAGTCGCTGTTGTTGTTAGGTGCCATTGAGTCGGTTCTAACTCATATTGACCCCATGTGCAACAGAATGAAACACTGCCTGGTCCTGCGTCATTCTCACACTAGCTGCTATGTTTCAGCCCATTGTTGCAGCCATTGTGTCAAACCATCTTATTGAGGGCATCCTCTTTTTCGCTGACCCTCTACTTTACTAAGCATGATGTCCTTCTCCAGGAACTGGTCCTTCCTGATCACCTGTCCAAAGTATGTGAGATGAAGTCTCACCCTCGTCTCTTCTAAGGAGCATACTGGCTATACTTCTTCCGAGACAGATGTGCTCGTTCTTCTGGTAGTCTATGCTATATTCAGTATTCTTCCCCAACACAATAATTCAAAGGCATTAACCCTTCTTCACTCTTCTATTCACTGTCCTGCTTTTGCATGCATAGGAGGCAACTGAAAATACCATGGCTTTGGTCAAGTGCATCTTATTCCTCAAAGTGACATCTTTGCTTTTTAACACTTTAAAGAGGTCTTCTGCAGCAGATGTGCCCAATGCAATGCGTCTTCTGATTTCTTGACTTCTACTTCCATGAGCATTGATTGTAGATCCAAGTAAAATGAAATCCTTGACGACTTCATTAGTCGTTAGGGAGATGCAGATCACAATCACAATAAGATACTTTAAACACACTAGAACGGCTATGATAAAAACTATGGAAAATAACAGGCATTGGCAAGGATGTGGAAAAACAGGAACCCTCATCCATTACAGGTGGGAATGCAAAACGGTACAGTCACTATGAGTAACTGTTTGGCGGTTCCCCAAAAAGTTAAACACAAAACTATCATATGACCCAGCAATCCCAATCCTAGGTATGTAAACCCAAAAGAATTGAAAACAGGAATGTAAACTGAAACCTATAAACCAATATTCACTGCAGCACACTATTCACAACAGCCAAAAGGTGGCAACAACCTAAATGGCCATCAACAGATAAAAGGGTAAACAAAATGTACTATATACATACAATGGAATATTACTCAGCCATAAAGAGAAATGAAGTCCTGATACATTCTACAACATGGCTGGACCTTGAAAACATGCTGAGTGAAATGCCAGTCACAAAAGGACAAATATTGTATGATTCCACTTATATGACACAGGGAAATGTATAGCAACCAGGGGTGGGAGGGAGGGAGAAAGGGGAGTCGTTGCTTAGGGCCACTGAGTGTCTGTTAATGGTGGTCCAATAACTTGGAAAAGGACAGTGGTGATGGTTACACAACATAATGCACATAATCAATGTCACTGAATTATACATGCAAAAATTGTTGAACTGGTAAATATTTATATACATATAGATAGATATATACATAAATATATCACAATAAAGAAAAAGGGTTATGTAAATATAAATTTAAAAACAACAACAACAATATAACCATTTAGCCAAATGCTACTATTCCTTAAAGGGTTATTTTGAAAGAAATCCTTTTTGCAATTGCCTTCAGAATCAATTTCATTAACATTAAGACTTTCATTTCTTCAATCATCTAGGAAATTGGAGACAAATTCAATTTGGAAAGCAAATTATGTGGTTAATCAAACACTGCTTCACTGATCAGATCTTTGAAAAGTTTCCTGGGTGGGAGTATAAATAAATATTCATCAAGAAACAGTAACGAGGATAAGAAAACAGTTTCTGAGCTTTTGATATAAGTATCAGCAACATTTTTTTCATACAGCAATAATTTCAAAGTATTTAGAAAATATGCAAGTTGAAATGAGGCTTAAAGCCAAAAAAATTTACACACACACACACACACACACACACACACACGCAGACATACACACACATTTGCCCTAGTTTTGGGAAATCCAAGACTTCTCCTTTCTTACTCCATCAAACTTTTTGTGTAAGGGGTCATGAAGTAAGGCCCAAATTAAGATATAACTTTACAGGTTGCCATAAGTCTGAACTGACTCGACAGCAACTAACAACATGTGAGAAATACATTATATTTCTACATAATTTTCATTAGAATTAACTCAAAAACCTGCTCTTCACAGACTGAGTCACACCTTAAAAACTGAATCTCACCAACATATTAATTGGTCTTTAAGATAAAAACTGGGGAAAGGATCTTAAACATAGAATATGGAATATTGACTACAAGTGACAGGGATTGAATTAATTTGAAATGAGAAAAGAAATGACAAATGAAGACATCTAAATGACTGATAAAAGTACTATGAAGCAAAGGGACCTAATTTACAATGTAAGTGGATATGTCCAATAATGGAGGAATTTTAATTAAATGATAATACAATCTACTGACAAAATGAGAACAATAAATACATAACAAAAAAGTTGATGCGAAAATGCTCACAGTATTATAAATCACAAGCTATGTTAAAAAACAATACACATCAAGATTCCAATTTGTAAATTTTTAAATAAATTATATAATTTACACATTTTGTGATATATACTGCATTTGCCCAAATACATTGTGATTCAGAAAGAATCGAACACTTTCAAAATTTATTATTCAGTAACTAAGTTATATAAGAACAGGTAATCAAAATCAATTTGTAAAGGAACTATATCACTGTTTTTCCATAATCTTACAAATCTCAGTAAGCACCCCCTATGTCACACGCACATACCAATCCTGTCTCTAATTCACTACAGACCCTCTGGAGTATATCACCATCAGTGGTGGAAAAAGCAGCCATGACGGGTTCTTTTATTTCATCAAGGATGTGAAGAAGGTAGAATAAGCATGAGAATTTCAAGGTATGACAGCTGGAAATTTGGTTACCACTATTTCAGAGGTAGGTCAGTATTTTCAACCCAAGTTCAATCTCTCACCAGAGAGAAATGTAAATGAAGCAAAGTCTCATTTTACTTAAAACAATAAAATTGCAGCTGCAGGAAAAACCTGTCAGCACAACTAGATATCCTATTTCTGTCACTATGTTCTCTGCAAAAGAATGGACTAGAGACTCACATATGTGAAAACTGAGGAAACATAAAGATAACTCTAATTTGTTAACAATACATGTTATACATAACCTGGTTATTGGGTAATAAGCTTTTTCCCTTTTAACTGATTAATTTTTTAATCACCACGTATAAGAACAATTTTCCCTCCTAAAAACTCTCCAAGAAAAAAAGTTGCCTTACGTCTTTACAAAGTCTCTCAATACTTGGCTCTCTGTTTATTTTAAACAAAGTTCTTTTTCAAGAAGATGGATTAACCTGAAAAGATCTCCATCAATGTTAGTTTCAAGTGTTTATGGATGGGCACCTGAAGAAATCAATTTAAAAATTTTTACAAAAAAAGGAATAAAAACCTTCACACAGATTTAGTAAGTATTCCTGTGGATATAAACTCACAATTACAAGTGTTATCTTCAGGACCCTTTAAAAAGCAACAAAATAAAAAGTTACATTGCAGTGATCAGGGATACATATGAGGAATGAAAGAAACAACTGTCCTATCATTATAGGAACGCTTGACAGGCGGGGAAAAAATTTCCAGTGTGTACCTAACCATGCTTCATCTGAAAAAACTTAAAATGAAGATGTTATATAATTCAAAAAAGGGCCTACGATGACAAAAAACTAACAAACTTACCCTAGATGCACACAAATGTAGAAAATGAATAAAATGGTTTTGTGAGGTATGAGTGGAAAAAAGTATTATTCTAAAAGTATGCATTATTTTTATAATAATTGAACTAATAAGTTTAAATATAAGGTTGATTACTTCATCTATATCTCTAACACACATATTTAAAGGCAAAATAAACAAATATATCTTTAGGGATTGTCTCATTAAGAAAACGAGGGCTTGCTTTATACTTGGGGTTGCCTTAGGTAAAGACAGTGTATGGATATGGGTGAGTATGTGTATATTCCAAAACTCTTACAATGAGTCAAAGGTGGTTCCACACACTTTCAGAGTTCTATGTCCTTACGCTATCCCTTTTGCTGGAAATGACCTGCACACAATTTAAATCAGCAACTGTTTGATTCACCTACTGATGTCAAATATACAAATGTGAGAAGATACATGTGAACTAGATATACAAATGTGAAAAAACATGGAATTTCTGATCTAATAGACTGAGCTTTTCAAAAATAAAGATATGAGCTCACAATACACTGTGGTGATTCCAAACAATATGCATGGGGCTCAGAGATCACATAGAGGAGGGAGTGATGATGATGATTTCGGAGAGAAAAGCAACTTTTTCCTGACTACAACTTCCTATTTATTCCCTTAGCTCTTTATATCACAATTACAGCAGTTATCATATTTCATCACAACTACTGGCTTATTATCAGTAAGTCTTCTTATCACAAGACTGGGCTCACTAAGAGCAGTATCATGTCTTCTTCATGTTTGTATCCCCAGCATTTAGCACACGAGGCTCTTAGTACTTAGTGAATTAATTCAACAAATGGAACGTAACTCAGAAGTTGTTCATAGAAAGTAATACTATTCTATTTAGTCTGTTGTGGTATAGTGATAATCTGGAAGCAATGTGTTAGCAACCTAGAGAGTAACAATTGTTTTTTAAAGTTTATACTACCTCGTTTCCCTCCCCCTACCACCACTGTGAGACAGCATGAACTGCCTCATACCTGAAGTCTCTACCTGAAGGAACAGAATATAGAAGAGTAACAGAAGGCAGCATTTTCCTGGCAGAGAAAGGATTTACATCCTTTTCACCTGTAGCAGAGGAAAGAACAAGAACTAAAGAGGGAATAATATCTGGAGAAGAGAATTCGGATGGAGGCAGGTAAACAAAACCAAGCTTAAGATATTCTACACTAGTATCTGGCTGAAACTTGGGCTCTTAAATCATAGCTGAACAAAGTCAAGTTTACTGAACTGTCTATACTTTAATTGTAAAAGTGCATAGTAAATTGTTTCAGTTAATGGAATCATTATGTAATTGCCCTAAAATTCCCATCAATATACAAAACATTATTCTCAAGTTAGCCCAATTTACTATCTCTTAAAATTATCTATCACCTCTGTAACTGCCACGTTCCCCACAAACCTGCTATAAATACATAAAATCTTACAAAAAAAGCAGGAAGTTTAAAGCATGAAAATGCTGTGTTCAAAAATATACACTCTTGGAATACTCAGAATTCACTGCCACTGACCTATATTTTCAAGTCAAAGTGTCATTGCTTTGTATTTCCCATTATCAAAAATACAAGAAATTCTCAAAAATCTAGTTTCTCCTTGGTGTTCTGGTGTATTCTGAATTCCTACCACTAGATGGCAGTTAGACTGTACAGAGAAACTCAAAAAAAAAAAAAACCCTGGAAGGAACAAGGATGGGTTCAGACCAACTCAGTCTCACCTATAAACAGATTACTTAATTTTCAGATGTTTATGACTACATTCTAGTATTCCAAAGCACAGATTCCCAAACCTAGAGACCCTAGCCTCTGGGATTTGGAACCCCAGATTCCAAATAAGGATCTCAGGGGTGAGGAGATGGATATTTTGGTAAGCATTACCTCAAAGGGTAACTATTACCTCTATGATAATTTTTAACTTATCTGAAAATGCAAGATGATAATAAAAAAAATAAAAACTCATCACTTAATATAAGAATGAAAATAAATATTTATTTAAACTGAACAGGAAAACAGAATGAAAGCATTACAATGCTCCAACATCAAAAATACATGTCCATGGTATAAATACAAGGTGTTCGCCTTCCTTTCTTTGAAGATCTGAATTTTCAGAATTACAATCCCACCTGTAGGAAAGAAAACATAAGTATTAAACAATTTAAGACCAAATGCCAAAATTACAAACTCTTTCTGAATTGTATTCTATGAACTTAATAGCTGTTCATCAGCCCAATTAAGGAGATGAGATATAATCAGGATCCTCAAGAACAATCTATTACTGAATCGGAAACATACAAAACTTGACTTCCTAAGCAAAATAAAAGGTCAACAACACATTATGAGTACTTACCTCTATGAATGCTGTAAACCGGAAACAGTCCGGAGAGAAAAAATGGAACAAATTCTCCTTTCATTCCAACAATACCAGGGAAAAAGAACCCAAGCTTGAGGGGCTCTGCAAGTGCAGATCAGAGTACTATAAGGAAAAAAAATTATCTTGAGAGGTTAACGGAAATGGGACTAAGTCTGGAGAAAAGTACGTTATAAACAGGAGGTGGCCAAGTGTCCTAGCTAGCCTGAAATAGTCCTGGTTTACACCTCTGTCCTATTATCCCATTCAGATAACACTCTTTCACTCTCAAAGGTAATCCAATTTGGACAATAAATTTTATGTCACCCTAGTTGTAAGTGACCTAATAAGAGTTTACATGTAGCTAAGAAATTAATACACCACCACCATCTACTCCTGATGTATTTTCACTTTTCTTTCTTTAAGTGCTATATTCCAGTTATTCCCCTAACCTTCCTAAAACACAAAACACGTTTCCATGCTAGCCACTTTGTCCTCTCACTCCCTACCCTTGGGCATCTCTTAACATTAATCTCTGATGCTATTTTTTTCACCCTGAGAAAATCATCTAATCTCCTAACTTCAATGAAAACTTCTATGCAAATGATTCCCAGATGGATTCTCAGAAAATCAATCCAAGGTCTTCTGAGGAGTAGGAGATACCAGAAATTTGCATCTCTATGTCCAAAGATATCTCACACCTGAAAACAGGAATATGCTCTCAGCTGTAACCTGACGGCCGTTTTTGTTTCAAGCAATCAAGACCCTTTCTTTATTCTGATAAAATAAAGTCAGGAATCTTGCTTCCTTATATCATCCACAATGTGTAACACCTTGCCTTGTACCTGTGTTCATATGATGGTATAAATATTTGCAAATTTATAGGTGAAACAAAAGCCCATTTCTCTGCTCATAAACATGGAGGAGGAGAAGAAGGGGTGGAGAGAAAAATCAAGCAAAAAAAAAACTTCACTAATTTGAATCTAAAACTCCAAGCTTTGGCCATTAAAGTGTTTGTTAATTTGGGGGGAAATTTTTTTTTTCTTTCTGAATTACACATAGGTATAGTTCATTTGGATGTTGTGTCTAAATTCCAGAACTGAAACAAAGTGTTATTTGATTCACTCTAAGATTAAAAGCCATTAAAAGTAAATGACAGCAATAATTTAAGATGACTTAACACTTGGAAAAACACTTTAAAAGAAGAAATATATTCCAAGTATTTTCTGGAACACTTCCTTTAGCACTTAATTATAGAGATGTTTGGTAATAAAAACTTTGCCACCACAAAAAGAAAAAAGAGTAGATTACTTCTACCAAAATTTAGATATGATCACAACTTCCTTTGCACACTATACTGTTAAATATACTTATTTCCCCCAATACAGGTTTTAAGTATCTTTCAGTACAAAGTATTTTGATAAACAGACCTCTGCTGCTAGAAAATTCAGAAACAATAAATTTAACACTTAACCTACATTGTACATAATACTTACAGCTGTTTTTTATTTAGTTCTGCTTCTATGTACCAACCACAATAACTGTTGCAATACTAATAACACCTTAAGAATAAAAACAGCTGATTCTTTCAAGCAACTACTTATCCAGATCTTATCTGTCTAAATAGATATAGACAGACAACATATCTATTTTCAAAAATCATATTCTATCTGTAAATAGATGTCTGAAGAGTCCCTTGCGATTCTAAGAGAGTATCTCTCTCGGCTTGTTATGAGATGGGAACACGAATCTTAAATGGTATAAACAAACAGCAAGGAAAATTTAACCACCTTTCCTTCTTCATTCTACAGTAGCAATCCTTTACCAATTTCCCTTCTGCTATGGTGACCAAAAAAAAACAACCCCACTGCCATTGAGCCGATTCTGACTCATAGTGACCCTATAGGAGAGAGGAGAAATGCTCCATAGGGTTTCCAAAGAGTGCCTGGTGGATCTGAACTGCTGACTTTTTGGTTATCAGCCCAACTCTTAACCACTATGCCACTAGGGTTTCCATGGTGACAAAGTATCCCCCAAGTTAAGCCTTCTATCCAACTAAATGCTACTACTTTGAATACTACTAGTTTTCAAGCATGATCCCTCCCTAAACCTGAGGGACACTGGAGCACACTAACTTTTTATTTCACTGCTATATTATTTGGATACCTTCCAGAATGACTGGGATTGGCAAGTGTGGGATGAGGTGTCTGTTTTTACTCCTATAATTCCTTTAATGTTCATTTCTCCCTATTAGAGCTCTTCTCTGACTCACACTTATTTGATAGCCTTAAGCACTATTCATTTCCAGTCTCTGCTTCAACTAATAATAAGGATGCAAATGGCACCATCACTAACTTCTGCTCTAGGCTCTCCTTCCATTTCCATGCGTGGCCCTATCCATTTCCAGGCCCTAGGACTGTATTATAACCAGAATTGAGTGACGTATCTAAATGAGCAAAGGATCTAGAATCAAATTCCAGATTCACTGTTCAGCAGTATGACTTCAGGACTGTTAATTAGTCACTCAGGATCAATTTCTACATTTTGAAAATAGCAATATTAAAATTTAATTTTCCTAACATTCTTGTTTTAGTAAGACAATACATTTAAGGTTCTTTATAAGCTTTAAAGCACCATTATAAATATATTATTTTTTTTACTTAGCATCATATTTTATTGGTAAGTTTTCCTCCATTTCAGCAAACTATTCCTCTATTACCTTTCCAATACTGTATGACAAAACCAGCTCAAACTCAACAACTTCTGCAAAACCTTCTCGAAAGTCTAATTTCTTCATCAACTGGGAAATGTTACCATAATGACTTGCACTCAATCTTAAGAGTGGCAAAATCTTTACACATGCAGATTTCTTTATGCTTTACAAAATTATTTCACATCCTTAGTCTTCTGATTATTACAACATCCTTGTGACAGGCAAGCAATGCTGTTATAATCATTGTTAGATTTAAATACGTGCCAGTTACACTAGTGTCTGTGCTAGAACTAGATTCTTAACACAAGTATCTTTCCACTGGGGGAGAGAGATGGATGGATGGATGATGAGCGGGTGAGGGGTGAATGGATCGATTGAAACTCTCTCCATACCAAGTGGTCTCTAATTATTCTAAAATCTACACACTCTCTCCTGTTAGTCCTGGCAAATGTAATGTCTAGTATATACAGTAACCACCTCTTGCCTGGTATGTCCTGCTCACTGGCATTATCATCTTCACTCCGGCTACAATGAACTAAAGATGACAGGATATAAGGAAAACATACTATTCAATAGAAGTTAACAATATACAGGCATCAAGAGTTTAGGACAGTTCCATCTTCAAGTGCTTTAGAAACTACTGTCACAAACCTTAATTTATACGCAAGCTTAAAGAAGCCAAGAATATCACAGAAAAAACTAAGTCAACTCACCAGATTTTAAATGAATTAGACCTTACATGATTTTACATAAGAACACACAGAGCAGTTTTCCAGTCATCTTCTGTCCCAAAAATGTAACCATTCCCAATTTAGAGCATAAGAGATAGACTATATTAAAAGAGGCCTCAAAAGCTACAAAATACATTCTTGGCTGGTCACTGGCTAAGTTAGGAAAACAACTCTGATGAAGAAAAATTTAAAAAACAAAAGCAATTCTAGGTTAAGTCTACAAGCCCAAGAATAGGAAGCAGCTTACACTCCTCTCTTAAAACACTTCCATCTTCCTATAGGAAGAATGGAAACCCTGGTGGCATAGTGGTTAAGAGCTACAGCTGCTAACCAAAAGGTCGGCAATTCGAATCCACCAGATGCTCCTTGGAAACTCTACGGGGCAGTTCTACTGTCCTATAGGGTCACTATGAGTTGGAACCGACTGGACAGCAACGGGTTTGGTTTTTTGGTTTATAGGAAGAATTGGTTCTCTTCCTGCACACTACCTTCAGGCAGTCTGTTAAGGAGTGCCTACTTCAGTCTCTTGAGCTGCTCTATAAATAGTTTCCTAATTTAGCCACCAGTGGCAACCATACAACTAATTTTTAAGTCAGTCTCCTACGGTTGTTCTTTATTACCACTCAGCTGTGTGCCCCTTTATTAACGCTAGAGTTACAGAGTTCTAGCATTAATAAAAGGAGCCCTGGTGGTGCAGCGGTTGAGCACTTGGCTGCTAAATGTAAGGTTGGCAGTTCAAACCCACCAGCCACTCCATGGGAGAAAAACGTGGCAGTCTGTTTCCGTAAAGATTACAGCCTTGGAAACCCTATGGAGCAGTTCTACTCTGTCCTATAGGGTCACGATGAGTCGGAATTGACTGGACGGCAATGGGTAGCATTAATAACATGCCACTTTATTGCTACTTAGCTGTGTCCCACTATGTGGTGTTTCTGGGACAGGTTACAGAAACCACCTAAAGATAATGCCTTGAGCCACTGTAAGTCACCAAGTCAAAACTCTATTTTACAAGAATATGAATAAAAATAAATGAGTTTATACTCTAAAAAGTCTAAAACCCTATGTTAAATTAATACCTAACATGAATTTTGGAACTTATAATAAAACAATTACATACTTCTGTAAAGAAAAGTTACAAAAGTTGATGTTGAGAAAAGAAAAACAGATGAGGAAATACTGCCTGCTAAATCTTAACTTCTTGGTTATTAAACAGTTAGCTTTACTTCTAAAAGGAAATGTACAAATGGGAATACAAATGGTTCTATCTTCCAATTCTGAAAACAGATGACAAAGTGGTCACGTAAAGAACAAACCAGATCTCTCCTCCGGTTCCACACCAAAAGATGAAATGCAGCTATCCTATAACTTAACTTCCTCTCAGATCTGCAGTTTTTAAAAACAAACTCATTGTAATCAACCCACTCCATTTTGTATTTACCAACAAATCTTCACATTGGTCTTATAAATCAAAACCAGACCAGTTCCCTAGCAATAGTTCACCTGAAATAAAGCTAGTAACTGCAATTAGTGAAATGTTTTCTTCTCTACATTAAATGCTTTCCAAAGATACTATCTGAAGATATGCAAACTCAGCAACTTAAAAAAAGGCACCCACAACTATTAAAACAAATTTCTTAGGTATAAAGACATATTGAATAAAACTAAAGAATATTCTAAACTAGACCACCAAGTTTCTTAATTTCAAGTCACAAAAGATTTAAAAAAAAAAAAAAGACCAAAAAGAGATCGTTTGCACTGTATTTGACAAATAAACAATTCAATACTATTGGAAAAATACATATATTGCAAATAAAAGCAAATTTTTTTTTGCTCTTCTCCTAATGAATGTCACAGATACACAAAAGGTTGTAGGCCAAAAATGGGCAAGCAGCTACAGCCAGATAAATTGATGCTGCCTTGGCCAATTAGAGTTCTAGCATTAATAAGCAGATGTACGCAAGTCTGCTCAGCTGCTAACTGAAAGGTCAGCAGTTTGAACCCACCAGAGACTCCACAGGAGAAAAGACTTGTCGATCTGCTAGTAAAGATTACAGCCTAGGAAACCCTATGGGGCAATTTTACTCTGTCTTATAGGGCTTCTAAGAGTTGGAATCTACTAGACTGCACTTGACAACAACATACACAATCCTCACTCTATTTATATATATATACACACACACATAAAAACAGAGAGTAGACATTTACTTTAAGAAACATAGTCCTTCCAACAAGCTAACTAAATTAAGGATTGCGGAAACAATAATAATGCTTACAGTTGCATGGTTCTATGGGATTAAAACAAGGGATAAAAACCAGATTTGACGTAATCATACACAAATTCATCACTTAACCAAATAATTTCAAGATGATGATGCTACTATGGTGGAGTATGGTGATGGATTAGTGATGCTCTATTATATACCCTCAACTGATACCCATTATGACCAACAGTCAACAAATACAATTAGCCGTGTTAAGTCATTTAGTCTGTGGCCACAGTTAACTATCAAATTCATAATCCTGGAATGAACACAATGAACTGATCGAGTGAACCAACTAGATGAGGACCAAGATCATATTTGAGTATTTTCAATATAAAGGTTAACTCACATTTAAAAACAACAAAAAACTGTTCACCAGCCTAGTACACTAAATTCATTCTCTTCCTCAAAGATTTATTAAATATTTACTAAGATATTCTTACGTACCAGGCATTATATTCTGGGTACTGGGGTTTCTAAGATGAATAAAATACAGTCTCACTTCTCAAGAGAGATAAACAGAGAGAGGATGCTATGAAAGTAAAAGAAAACACCTCTGTAGAGGGATAGGGGAGCAATATGATTACAAAGGTCACCCATGGCTTGTCTATAGCTCATTTGGCCAATCAGGAGTGAGGGAGAGGGGCTTTATCTTTCCTAATCAAACACGAGCATCCATCTAAGGCTGCATGCCCAAAAGGGGCAAATCTAAAATTCAGATAAACATTCTTTAGTCAAGGGTAGAGGATTAGCTTTACTCCCCAGCTTAAACCTACAAATACCTCAGGTTAAGGAATTTTCCAAGAGATAATGCCTGAGAACAAAAGGCAAGTAGGGGCTGGGAACAAGAAATTGGTGCCTCATCTACATCTCCACAGATATTATCATTTCTGACCACCACAACAGCCCCTAATTAGACTGCCAATTTCTCTCTATTCTACAGGGTAATCTTTCTAAAATGCAATTCTTCTCTCTCTCTCTCTACACACACACCCACACAGTCATTTAAGTAAAAAGCCACTTACAATTTTTACTCTCCTAGAATAAAGTCCAAACATTTTAATATGATCTGTAAGCCCTAGCACTATATACCACTCCCACCACTCACTGCCTCACTTGATGGACTTTTCAGTCTCTCAAGCTCCTATTTCATACCATGATGCATATAACTCTCTTCTTCTCCTCTTCACCCAGCTAACGCCTCTTCATCCTTCAGTTACCAAAACCAGAAAACCAAAACCACTGCTGTTGAGTCAATTCCAACTCACAGCAACCCGACAGGACAGAGTAGAACTGCCCCATAGGGTTTCCAAGACTGTAATCTTTACGGAAGCAGACTGCCGCATCTTTCTCCTGAGGAGCAGCTGGTGGGTTCGAATTGCTGACTTTTTGTATGCTCTCACTGCACACTGTACTCTTCTTTCACAACATAATTACATAAATAATTACAGCCTTCTTTAATTTATTTAACAAATATTTTAGATTTGAGGTGGTCCAGGAATATATGATGAATGATTTGGATTACAAGGACTACAGATATTCTCAAAATTATGAGAAAAAAAATTTTTTTTAAAACAAAAAACAACATCAAAAAGCTCCATAAAGTCAGGAAAGTACAGATGCTGGGAGACAATAAACTTGGATGACTTAAGTAAAATTGAGAAAAGCAAGCATTTGAAATATGGTTGGAAAGACTGGTGGGAAGTCCTTTATTATCAAGCTATTTTTTATATTTTCACATTAATGTATTTTCAGTAAAGGTGGAAGTAAAATCCCACTCCCCCTCCATGAAAGTAAAATTCAAATTTTTTTTTTTCAAGTAATGATGATATACTGGCAGGTGGAACAGAACACTCTAACAGAGAATGAAGCAAAAGCTCATAAACTGTTTCTGATCTCAGTTTCCAAAGCACCAAGGACCAAAAAAAAAAAAAAAACCTAAAGGGGTACAAATACAGCATCACAGAATAATAAAGAAAGGATGCAATTTAGAAAATAAGCAATTCAGGTGAGTAAGGGATTTTTCCTAAGGCCATATGGGACCAGCTCCCTATATTTCAGTTTAAGGCTTATTCCTAATGAAGCATATTAACAAACAAGTTAACCTAAGAATTGTAGGAAGTTGCTGTTTCTAAATGTAACTTACATATTTGTAGAAATTACGTTTCTCAAAGAATGGCTTTTTCCTAACTATATCCCATTCCCTAAAAGTTCTTTGAACTAAGGGGCACCCCAGATTGCCTGACCTGCAGTCAAAGTGCTTTGTCATTTAAATGCTAAATTTATTCTCTATTTCCTCTTACTAGCGGTATCTCAGTTTATGAATCTGTTCAACAGTGCTAATAACACTACCTTTACCTGCTCAATAGATCTTTTGTAAGATTAAATGTGTTAATGCATGTCAACTACTTAAAACACAGAAAGCACTCCAAAAATCTTAGCTATTACCCTCATTATGTATGTCATATCCTAATTAAACTGATTTGTATCAGATTTTGTAAACACTGAAGACTGAAGTTTCCTTAAACTTTTATAAAACTTCTACCTTCAGATCAAAGTTAGGCATACATTATTTTTGTTTAGAAAAATGACTCCTGTGCAATCTACAGACTCGGAAGTCCCAAAAACATTTGTTATTGTCACTATTCATGCAATCTACAACAGTCAAGTTAACATAAAAGTCTGATGCAGCAAAACCTCATTCTCAGTTTCAAGATCAGCAAAACTCCCTGCCTTCCTTATTTTAACACTGGCAGCAGAATATAAAGTGCAATTTTTAAAAATCAGTTCTATTTTCCAACTTAACCAATTGTAGCCAAAAGCTAACTGGCAATAAGATATATCTAAAGGTCATATGATTAAAACACAAATTTCCTCCACAACCCAGCCTCAGACAATTGCTCCAACCACATTTCTCCTTACACCCAACCCGACCCTCTCCCAGCCCAAAAAACCTCATTTACCCTCTATAATCAAACAGACTCCTTGTTCCTCAAACACAAGCCAGCCTTCCTGTCTACAAATATTTGCTCATACTCTTTCCTCCACTGGAAATGCCTACTGCTGCTCCTCACTACTGGTGGCACAATGGTTAACTGCTCAGTTGCCAACCAAAATGTCTGGGGTTTGAACTCACCAGGGGCTCCGCAGGAGAAAAGAACTGGCGATCTGCTTTCATAAGTATTACAACCTAGAAAACCATATGGGGCAGGTCTACTCTGTCACATAGGGTCACTGTGAGTTGGAACTGATGCAACAGCACACGACTTAACATTTAAGATCCAGTTCTCCCCTAGTCAAAAGCAGTATCTCTCTCCTCTGTATTTCAGTGATATTTGTTCTATACTTATCTGATAATACAGTTATCTGTATGTACCATAATCTTCCCTATTAAACTGACAACATGATAAACAATTTCACTTTTAGGCTTCTCAGTATCTCAACACAGTAACTTGGGTATGCAGTAGACACTCAGTAAGTAATCTAAATAACTGAGTATGTTAATTTCCACAGGACTAACAAAGTCTTATTTGGTAGAGGGCTTCACAGGTCCAGCTTTAAAAACAGGTAAGAATGACTTGCAGTAAGCAGATATCAATAGTTAAATCACCTAAATGGCACATGCCCCCAACAATCTTATTGATCTTAATTCATTTATCAAACCTTTTTTATTCATACTAACCATCACCAGATGATAAGACAGTTTGTGTTTAAGTTCTCTCATAAATCTGGAACTCAAAAAAAGTTCGATTTCCAGATAAGCCCACAAAAGGCATAACACCACAATGTACCTAATTTTATTTATTTAAAGACCCAAACCACTATGTGTAACAATATTCAGAGGTCCAATGACATGACAAAGCAGATCTGCATACCTGGCAACAGGGTTGTAGGTTCTTTCCTTCCTCTCTCTCTCAATAATCCTACTACAAATCACCTGGCGAAAGGAAGAAGTACTTCCCCAGTTCCACGGCACTGGCATCTAAAGCTAGGAAAGCAGCTAATCAAACAGAGAAAAGGAGACTCTAAAATGAGGATGTGGGGAGCGGGGTGCTCCGAAGAACTAGGGAAAAGAATTAGAAGAGACTAGAATCTATCAAAATACCTCCTGCCCCTACAAGACCTTAAGGACTCGTCCAGCCTCATCTCCCCTTACTCTCATTAATACTTTACATTCCATCATACAGAACTACTTATAGTTTTCCCCAACACATCATAATGCTCTTTCTTGTCTCCACATCACTCTATGTGCTAATCTATTTAGAAAGAACGCCTTCTCCATCTGGCAAATCACTGTTGTTAGTTGTCAGCTCCAGCTCATGGCAACCTTATGTATAAAAGAACAAAACACTGCCTGGTCCTGCTCCACTTCCACAATCTTTGAGGCTATCATGTCAATCCATCTCATTGAGGGTTTTCCTCGTGATCGCTAACCCTCTACTTTACTAAATATGATGCCCTTTTCTAGTGATTGGTCTTTCCGGGTGATGTGTCCAAAGTAAGCAAGAAGTCTTGCCACCCTTGCTTCTAAGGAGTATTCCGGTTGTATTTCTTCTAAGACTGATTTGTTCGTTCTTCTGGCAGTCCGTGGTATATTCAATTTTCTTCACAAACACCACAATTCAAATGCAATAACTCTTCTTCCGTCTTCTTTTTCACTGTCCAGCTTTTGTATGCATATGAGGTGACTGAAAAGACTATGGCTTGGGTCAGGCCATACCTTAGTCATCAAAGAGATATCTTCATTTTTTAGCACTTTGGATGTTGCAAATCACTATTCATCCTTAATACCTGCTACCTTCCCCGTGAAGCTTTCACTCACCTTCCCCAAAGTTAATTACTCCTTCCAATACTTTGATACTTCATGTGAGAAGTATTATACATTTATCTCAATGTATAATTTGTTTATACATTTTTACACTATTAGACCTCATGCTCCTTTTTTTTTTATTTTCTGGCCCTAGATCAGCTTCTCTTAGCACCACACTTATTGTTTCTGATGAGAATTTGCATCAGTACTGCTCAATGTTAAACAACTCAGTTTCAGAGCTTTTGCCTTACATCTTTACTGACAGAGCAAGCACAAGATTTTGAATACAAAGTTTTCTAGGGAATTTTACTAATAATAACATCATGAAGTAACGATTTGCTCCTATAATTCCCCTTTTTCCACTCACACCTTCTCCAAGAAAAATAAAGTCACAAAAATCATAAACTCGTGTCTTTAGGTACACAAATGACTTACAATTTATCTACATCTCATTTTCAAAAGAAAACGAATTTGGATTATCATAGGCAACTCATCACAGAGTCATAGATTGCAACGCAGTCTTCATTAAAAGTAGCATGGTTAATGGGGGAGAAAGCAAAGCTCGAGTAGGTGGGAGGAAAAAGCAATCAAAGCCAATGTCCCATTCGTTCAACAGATCCTATTAAAAGCATATACTTCAAGAATTGCATGGTGCCTGGCTACAATTTACTGAACATTTTCATAAATGATTCTATAGAAAAATCCTGATCAAAAAAGGGAAAATGCAGAAAAGAAGTTCAAATTCTCATGGACTTCAGACTTTCAGGAGCCACAGAGGTTGGATGAACCCCTGAAACTACTGCCATGAGGTAATTTTTAAACCTTAAACCAAAAATATCCCCTGAAATCTTCTGAAAACCAAACAATAGTTTAGCTTAACTAGTAAAGAAGGTCTGCCTTGAGCATTGTGCTCTTTCAAGATCTCTCTGTGGGATCAAACTGAAAACAGCAACTCTGAAAGATTAAATAGGAAACTTAGGAGGCAGTGAGTTTATGTTAATAGGGGAGGAACAACTCAGAAAAATATGGTGAGAATGGCTGCACAACTCAAAGAAATGTTCAATGTCACTGAACTGTACATGCAGAAACTTTGTTGAATCAGTGTTATGTTTTGCTGCATATATCTGCAACAACAAAATGAAAAGTATATACTTTTATTAAAGTATATACTTTTTATATATTTATATATTTTATTAAAGTATATATAAAGTATATACTTCATTTCTCATTAGCCTTATTTGCAATTTAAATGCTTTGCCAATGTCCTATAACAAGACACAAGCACTCGACAAACAAGGCCTTATAACATTTTGCTTAAAGATCTGGACTACCGCAGACAACATGAAGTCCAACAAGGACTGCCTGGAATTCACTGTTAACAATTACACGTAACAACAGCAACAAAAAAGCAGGAAAAAAAAAAAATCACAAGATTTGACTAAACTCGCTTGTTTGAAGTCAAACATACCAACAATAAGTACACCCTAGAATAAAGAATATTTTAGTGTGTCAAACTGCCCTAACTTCACATCAATAACCTAATTCTCCAAGTTTATTCCCAACTTCATGATTCTTTGCATTTTCAACCAATGAAGAATAAAAATTTACTTGATCTGCCTGGCCACCACTAATGACCGTTCTGGTGAGGGCCATAACAGACAGATCCTGACAAAAGTGGAAAAAAATGTGAAACAGAACTCAAATTCTTAAGAAGTCCAGACTTTACTGGATCGGTTGAGACTAAAGAACTCCCCAGTACCATCACCCTGAGATACTCCATAAACCCTGATTTGAAACTACCCTGAGGGCACCTTTTTGGCTAGGTAACAAACTGGTTCATAAAATAAAGAATATTACCAGCGAGTACTGTGCACTTTTAAAAAAAGTCATCTATGAGATCAAATGGTCAACAATTACTCTAAAGCAAAGATGAAAGGGTTAAGGGGACAGGGAAACCAGATTATTGGAAGTGAAACATCCAGAGGGGAATTAATGAGAATGGTAAAACACTGTAAAAAATGTAACCAATGTCTCTGAACAATGTGCAGTAATCGTTAAATGGGTACCTAACTTGCTGTGTAAACTTCCACCGAAAACACAGTAAAATATTATTTAAAAAACTGTTTTTACTTGACCATGGAAACAAAAAGAAATTTATGCAAACAACAACTACTCATAGGGAAGGCTATTATTACTCCTACAAAGTCAGTGATCTTCCTCTTTCTTTGTGTGAAAGAAGATTCTAAAACATTAATAATACATTAGTAATCCCCCAGAAGAAATTCATTCCTCCTTCATTCATTCAGCATCTTTTTATTGCACACTTGCTACCCAAGTCCTGTATTTAGCATCGTAAAAAACACAGATCCCTCTATAAACTATAATTATAAAGGCTATAAACAATTATTATATATAAAAAGTATCATGATGGGGAAGTACAAGATACTATAGAAACATATGGCACTACTGTATGTGGACAAAAACAACTGCTTGTGACACTCATACGATTATATATTATCTCTTCACACACTGTAAAGACTATACGGACAATCTAAAAAAATTCACACTGGATTAGATTAAGCAGTTCATCCAGTTGAGGGAATGCCTGACTCAAATAACTCCATTTATCAGTCAACGAACTATGCCCAGTACTGAAAATTGCCACAAAGGAATTTTTTCCCCTCTCCCACTATTCTCTATTTCCATATTACATGGTGGTAGTAGAGCTGGACTCCATTCCAAAGAAAGGAAAAATTCAAATATCCTTAGTTTTCCTTAATATCACCTTGGCTCTTCACACCACATACAAAAATTATCTCAAAATGAAACAAAGCCTATAGGTAAGAGCTAACACTATAAAACTCTTAGAAGGAACCATAGATATAAGTCTGCATAACCTTGGATTAGGCAACAGTTTCTTAGATATGACATCAAAAGCACAAGCAACAAAAGAAAAAATACATAAATTGGACTTTATCAAAACTAAAAACTTTTGTGCACCAAAGGACATTATCAATAAAGTAGAAAGACAACCCACAGAATGGGAAAAAAATATTTGCAAATCATGTATCTAAAAACGGTCTAGTACCCAGAATATATAAAGAACCCTATTAAAAAGTAGGCAAAGAACCTGAATAGACAGTTTTCCAAAGAAGATACACAGTGTTAAGGAGGACATAAAAAGATGCTCAACATCATTAGTCACTGCATGCTCACTGCCGTCAATTCAAATCCAACTCACAGCAATCCTGCAGGACAGAGTAGAACTGCCCCATAGGGTTTCCAAGGAGCAGCTGGTGGATTTGATCTGCTGACCTTTTGGTTAGCAGCTGAGCACTACGCTACCAGCGCTCCATCATCAGTCACTAGGGTGATGCAAATCAAAATTGCAATGAGATACCACTTCACACTCACTACCAGTTGCCATGGAGTTGATTTCATTCAATTCATGGCAACCCCATGTGTGTCAGAGTAGAACTTGGCTCCACCAGGTTTTCAATGACTGACTTTTCAGAAGTAGATCACCAAGCCATTCTTCCAAGGTGCCTCTATGGACTCAAACCTCCAACCTTCTGGTTAGCAGCCCAGGGTGCTAACCATTTGCACCACCACGGACTCCTCACATCCACTAGGAGGGCTATAATAATTTTTTTTAATGGAAATTAGCAAGTGTTGGCAAGGATGTGGAGAAACGGGAACTCTCATACATTGCTGAAGGGAATGTAAAATGATGCATGCAGCTGCTGTCACAAAGCCTGCCAGTTCCCCAGAAAGTTAAACCATAGAATTACCATGTAACCCAGCAATTCTACTCCTAGGTATACATACCCAAGAGAATTGAAAACATTTATGTTCACATAAAAACTTCTATACAAATGTTCATGGTAGTTTTATTCATAACAGCCAAAAAGGGGAAACAAACCAAAAATCCATTAAGTGATCAATCGATAAAATGTGGCATACTTTCATATTATGTGGCAATAAAAACGAATAAAGTACTGATACATGTTACAACATGGATGAATCTTGAAAACATTATGCTAAGTGAAAGAAGCAAGACACAAAAAGCCACACACTCAATGAGTCCATGTACACAAAAAGCCCAGAATGGGCAAATCCAGAGTTGAAAGTAAATTAGTGGTTGCTAGGGTTTGGAGGAAGAGGGAGATGGGAAGTGACATCCTTTTTGGGGTGATGGAAGTGTTCCAGAATTATGATGATGAATATACTAAAAAACACTGAATTGTACACTTAAAATGGTGAATTTTATGTTAAGTGAATTATCTTTTTAAAAAATGCAAAAAAATAAATAAATCATCTTGCCTCACAATGCCCTTTTTCATATTAGCTTCAGATTAGTTAACTGCTAATATTTCAAATTATTCAATATCATGTATGAATCAAATTTTTCCAAACAATTATTTAAAGTGCATCAAAAATGCTTGCCAGTCCTCTCAAATATGAATACCATTTTGGTATATATCTGAATGACATTAAGATTTTCATGTATTAGATACATTTCAAATATGGTACATCTATGCTTTTTAAGCACCCACAAGATTAACTCTATTATTACCAGTGCATAAAATTTTAAACATACACTCACACCCACAACCCTTGTTCTCAGAGCTTATAGCCTAACTGAGGAGACCTATAACCAGTAGAAACATGTACATTAAAACACAGCAACTGAGCATACCCTGTG